ATTAATGATAGTGGGTCAGAATAATTTCGATAGTTTGAAAATTATTTAAGTTGAATTGTAATTTACCTCAACGCGAGGGAGTACTATTTTAAATTTGTCTTTTAGTAGTGCTTCCGCATTGGGTCCAAGCTATTATAGATAATAATTATCAAAATGTTTTAACAAAAATCAACATTAATTTTTTAAATACCTCAATATATGAATACACGGATCCATAATCATTTGGTTGATATCTTTCAGTAAGGACATCTTGAAGTAACAACAGCTTTATCAATCTATCTACATCAACAGTCGAAAGCGTGCTTGTTTTAAAATTTGGTGGTAGTATAAGCTGCTTTGTTTTTACTACATTTTCGGTGGATTTGCTGCTTGATCCTTTCAGTATATTGACATATTGAGTTAATGTCACGTCTTTATGTCGATTATACTGTATCAATGTCACTATGTTCTTTTAAAGTAGTTAACATCAATTTACGTTGTAAAGCTTGATTTATTAATTAAATAGTTAATTTCTGCATATGAATAACGCCAAGTGAAAATTTGTAAATCCTGTTCTTTGAAGGTTTACCTTTAATTATAATAAATTTTGAGATCTAATAATAACACACGAGATTATTAATAATATTCAAATCAACTTGATGAGTTGATTTGTACGGTATTAAAACCATATGTATTCAATTACTGTATCTCAAGATATTACAATTAAAAGTAAATTGAGCAAAATTTCAAAAACGTGATTTACAGATTTCCTTTTGGAGTTGCCATGATGTACCTTAGCGTCCTTTTGCGCATCGTATGTTGATCTTTGTTGTGTAAGTGCATTTTTGCAGTTATCACAAGTGAATTGGCATTGGCTTTTATCAAATTGTTCCCCGAAATACGCCATGATTTGTTGCCGTCGACAATCAATCTGATTTTCACAATACTTCAACATTTCCCGTAAATTAGCTCTTTGCTGCTGCTTTTGTTCATAATTTCCTTCACCGTGAATAATTAATCTGTCAATGGTGTGTTTATCTGAATATGAATATAATAGCACACAGTCGGACGGCTTTCCATCTCTCCCGGCACGTCCAGTTTCTTGGTAATAACCTTCAAGCGACTGAGGAAGTGAATGATGAATAACAAATCGTACATCTGGTT